ACTGCGATTGTGTGCTGCACTTCTTTCGCGTGCTGCGCTGCAAAAATGCATGCTAAATTAATACCGCGTGCAGCTGGCATCTTAATTTTGTAGTACACTAACAAATGCTCGCGTTTTTGAGGAAGATTTAAGCAAATTCAAAAAAATTCGTAAAATGCCAAAAGTTTTTTTTTTTTTTTTCATTAGTCCCAAAGCTACATACACTATTTACGACGCACATCAACGGTTGTGAGAGTGTACTGTCACTACCGAAGACAGCTCAATCAGAATCATTCAACCACCGAGCACACACAAACCGTGAAGAAGTTCTCAGTGTCAAGTAGGAGTAGGCAGAGAAAAGCTCCTTGGACGACGAAACCCAATCCAGTGACAGCGGCACCGGCTCGTTAGAACTACCCTCGGAGCAGTCCAGGTCCATGCTCACACTCGCCCCGTCGAGCGCACGAACGTTAGCTATGCACTCCAACACGGGAAAACGAGAACTGCACACGACACAAGGCAAAAACGGCAGGTTCACATCGGAGAAATTAGCGTCTTGCGAACTCCAACGCTCCAACTGGCCCCAACTTGCTTGTCGTACAATGTTGCCAAGCGTCGTTTGTGAAAGAAAAACAGTTTTAAAAAAATACAAAAATATAAAAAAAAACGGAATTAATTTTTTTGTTTTTGTTTTGTTTTCGGAAACGTTTTTAGTATGTGCTACGTGGCTATTTTCATCCCAGTTAAAAGCAAAATGAAAATATACACGCTTACAAACGAATGCAAACGAAAAGGAAAGTAAGTAAGCTGCATGGCCATTGCATCAACAATGGCTTCTGCAGGGTGGTAAAGGTGGGTGAGGAGGAGTGGCAAATCCCGTGCGCCGACATCCTGGGTCCCGAGTGAAAGATCGCGAAGGAGAGCGACAGAACACGAGAGAAAGAAACCAACGTTGCCAGCTGAAGGACGACAGTCGCAATGGTAATCGCGGACACTGAAAACTCTCATCAATATAGACAGTGATAATTTAACGTTGTAAAGTAAATTCTGAGCTATTCTAACGCTTATAAAAAGCAATATATTTATTACGCTGCACTAACTTTCCTTCTGTTGAAATCTCGGAAATCTGGTGGTTGCTTGGTTTCGTATATTCCTGGGGCGCGGCCAGGCGCGGCCACCTGCGAAGTCGGTTATATGGGTTAGTTTCGTTTTGACGGGAGGCCGCACATGTGCGCGCTATGCAAAAAGAAAGCTTCGAAATGAACGCGAATATCTTTCCACCAGTAAGTTCGTGGATTGTTGAAGTTCATGACACTACTCTGATGATATAATTATATTTGTGAAATCCCAGGCAGGTTGGTAACCATGTGTGGGACCCCGAGGGTCTGCCTGCAAGCTCCGCCGCTTGCGGCAGCCAAAATGCATGGGAAAATGGCGGACCTTTGCCTCTAGGGTTAGTATGTATGATCTCTATGGGCTGCTGCGCTCGCTGCAGCGCTGGCTTCCACGTCGAGCTGGTACGGAGGCTGCGATCGTTATAAAGTCAGCTCCAACCCTTAAACATGCCCCCTCATTCAATATTTGACGCTACGATTGCGTGTAGATACCTCCCCCTGCGATCCGAAACAGCAAGTACGTCGCTAACGCTGGCAATCGGGTATGAAGCAAGCGCCGCCATCTTCTCCGCGCCTTTGCGGTAGTAAATAGCTAGTAAAGAGGTAGTAACGGTCAGAAAAAGGTAGCAATGGCTGCATCTGCTAACTCTTTACTACCTATCGCGCGTTTGAGATAGTAAATTTTAGTGAAAGGTAGTAACGCTCACAAAGGGGTAGTAACTGCTGCAGTTACTAGCTTTTTACTAGCTTTTTTCTAAGAGTATATCTTTCTCACGCAGGCGGGTGGGTGTATAGGCTCCTTGCACTGACGTCACATCGCACACATTTGAACACCAAGTAAAATGAGGAGAGGGAAGCTGCTTTTGTAAGAATTTTGAGTGACAGGTTAATCTTCTATAATCTTCTGGGAGGAGAATGGCGACGCGTGTGCGAATCCGGGAGGCACAAAGGAGGATCCTGATAAGAGGGGAGCTCCCTCTTCCTCTCTTCTCTGGAGGGCAACGGAAATGTCGTCCGGTGCAAGCCACGTATATTGGTCAAACGGGGCGCTGTTTGAACATCCGTTTAAGGGAGCACCAGAGTTCATCGAAGGGGCGTGCCTACTCTCATCTTGCGAGGCATTGCTGCGACTGTAAGTGTGAGCCAAGATTGAGTGACACCGAAGTTTTGTTCAAGCACAGAGACCAAGTGTCTAAAGCATACTTGTGCCTATCTCAAACACTCTACTCAAGATACTGTATTTAAAATACTCTTTGAAGTATCTAGGTATCTTCCAAATCCTTTTGATCTAGAGTATTTGATACTCTATTTTAGAGCGAGCGACGAGATCGTGTTCAGAACTAGCCTCGAACCAGGAGTAGTTAGTTCCGCGCCTCCGCGGAGTGCGCTGAGGTGCGAGGTCCCTCCTCGGCGGCCACGGTGTCGGCGGCGTAGCGTGCTCGCCTTTTTCGCGGTGTGGTGATGTGGTGGTGGTGTGCAGTCAGTGGCTGGCCTCGTGTTTTGCTTTGGTGCTGTGCCGATCACAGGTGCCACCATCGTGCACGAAGGTGAGCCTTAACACGAAAAAGAAGAAGGAAGAAAACGCAGATTTACGGACTCTGGTGACTTGTTGGCGGCGTGGCGGCGGTGAGGTGCAATAAGAAGTGGTGAGCGAGGAACTACGGGACAACCGCTGGGAAGAAACAACCGGAGCGGTCGGTTCGGGAGGGATTCAATATTTCGGCACCATCTATCCTCGTGCGAGTGAAGCGCGCTCAGTGCGTCGCACATAATGTGGCCACTGCGTCGGCCAGAGTGTCATCACCTAAATGTGTTTCCTCCACCGTGGGTGCAACAAGAAGCGGTGAGCGAGGGAATGCGGAACAATCGGTGGGAGAAACAACCGGAGCGGTCGGTTCGGGAAGGACTCGATATTTGGGCGCCATCTATCCCCGTGCGAGTGAAGCGCTCGGTGCGCCGAACGTATTGTGCTCGCCGCGTCGGACAGAGAGGCATCACCTAAATGTTCTGCAGCGCGAGCTTTCGCTTCGTGTGCTTCGAGCTGGTGTGCGCTAGCCCACTCTGCCACCGATCCCCCGTTTCATCCGGTGGAGGTGGAGCATCGTATCGGTCTCCGGTCGCATATCACTACTGCGTGGGAGGGTTAAAGGGGTACTCCACCGATTTTTTGAGCTACCTCAACTAACTATATTTTCTGACTCCCCGGCCTTTACTCTCTCCGGTATGCTATTTAGAATCGCGAAATTCATAATAGTTATTGCGAAATCGGCAAATGAAAATGATGCAAAAACCAACATTCAAATATACGCGCGCTTTTCAGGGCCGTGACGTCAGTGGCAGGCAGGCTTGCCAGTCGAGCAAGCAGCCAAAAAATAGAATATGCCAATCATTTGTTCCGTGCTGGAGCGCGGGTACTGCAGCGAGCTTCCCAAGCATTCATTTGACACCATGAAACTGCTTCGAATCAGTTTAAAACGAAATCTACAGCCCAAAGAGTGAACCCCTGCCTTCCACTGACGTCACTTTTTCATTGTTGCCAGTAGAGACTTCGAGCTTGAAAAACACGGTGAGGACCAAAACTGTAGATTCAATAACTTCGCGAAAAAACAATATTTTGACCTATTACTTGGGATACTATTTTCGCGATGTTTGTTGGTTAGTTTAGCAAAATTTCAAGCAAATCGGAGACAATAAAAAAATCGGTAGAGTAGCCCTTAAAGGGATACTTCAACGAAATTTGAAATATTCCCGTCGTGTTCAAAAATAGGTTGAATATGATCCACAATATCCGTAAATGACAATCGCACGTTTGTATTTTGATCATGGTGGCTGTATTTTTCGTTATAAACGGCCCACTCTGGCAAGCGCTCGGAGAAGGCCCAGCTTAGAGCACGTGACATCCAACGCAATCGTGACGTAGGTCGTTTCAAGACGAGCAAAGCTACGGCGAGGCTGACGTCGAGAGGATGGCCTAGTCGTTCTAGCCACCGAAGCGGCTGCTTTTGTACGAATTTTGAGTGACGGTTTAATCTTCTATAATCTTCTAGGGAGACAATAGCGACTTCTGCGACACACAAAAGGGATTCTCGGGAAGAGGGGAGTTCCTCCTTCCCCCCTTCTCTCGTCGTGGCCGGAGACGAGACAACCTCCGTCGCTAGCTGTCAAGGTTCCTAGTGGGGCATTAAAAGCGAGGCGTTAGCGACATCCACCAGGTGCTCTTTGCTAATCGTTTAATTCGTTTTAAAATTCCTTTTCGAGACTTTTTTTAACAAGATATTGGTATTTTCCACGTGATACTGCTTTTTTGAACACATATAGACCAAAAAATGAGCGCCGAAATTTTGTTGTAGTATCCCTTTAAGGGCTCCGGTTACCATTCGTGTATTTGCTACATTTTTCATCTAGGTCATCTGGAACACGAGCACAAGCACCATTACAAAACGCCCTTTTTTATTTATACTTTATCTGCCCTAATCACAGGAACTAGTTCAGGGCTTTCTTCACACCCTTCCAAACTCGGTTCAATAAATATGCTTTGAATATAGCATCATTGCTTCTAGGGTTGGTATCATGGTTATGCCTGCACCGCATTTTATTTCATCCAAGCGACACGCGTGATATGGCGTCTTGTTGGGGAGCGGCGGGGATGTGACGTGCATGAAGACGCGTCTATTTGAGTGCCAGAAATGGCCCTTACGACATACGCCACAAGCTTTGCCATACCCAGGAAGGGCTTCTATAAAAACTAATGTGCTAGAAGGAGGTTCATTGATCACAACAACCATCTTAAAGACTAATTTCGCAACATCCTTCAACATCCTTGCATTGCAGAATATTTATTAAATGAAATCCACAAGCGCGAAGTTCCGTCTCGCATCTCTAGGACAGAAGACGGTGTTCCTCCATCTACTGCTCCTTGGGAGGCTTCCAGTTGGGGTTGAAATTTCTGGGCATGCGCTGCCATTCCTTGTAGTAGTCCGGGTCAAGCTTTCCGCAGTCGTGTTCGGCCCACTTGGTCACCGTCATGTTCAGCGAACTCTCGATCATGAACGCCTGCGGATGTCAAGATACTACGTCTGATCTATGCTCGTTGGATGAATGAGAACGGAAGTGTGCCCCTCTTGAAAGTCTGCCTTCAGAACGCGCTCGTTGTCTTTCGTCGTGCTTTGGAAGCGCGTGTGCGCTCGAGGCTCACGAGACAACGAAGCGTTATCGAAGGTACAGAGCTGGAGGCAGGACAACTGAAGGTCCTGCTTGCCGTTCTCATTATGTTTTTGGCTATAACTTCGAAAACATTTCAAATGAATAGAAACGATTTCTCGATTTCCAGAAGGTCAAGAAGCAGGAGGGAAATATTAGGCCGTGTTTATATAAGAAAAGGGGGATGAAGATGAATATCTGAAGGATGAACCTACACCAGTAAGAAGTGACAAGTAAAATACGAGATGGTTTTTATAGCAGCGGTGAAGTTAAGCGCATGAGTGTCTCTTGTAAGCCAAGAAACTGCGTCGTTGTTTACAGTTGTAAACTTTCGCTTTCTAACGCTTAGGGCTTCTGCTGTTACTACTATTAACTGCAAATACAACGTAAAGAATGTTCGAAAGAAAAAAAAATTGTTTTTATCATAAAAATAAATTACGCATTGCCGATCAATGTCTTTCCGCCAAAATATAGCGGTAGCGACCAGAACCAGATTTCGATGTTTCCGAACTTACCGCTAATTAATTATTACGTAATAAGCGATTTTTTTTATTCGATGATGAGATTTGTTTCCGGTATCAGAAGCCCTGAATCAACGCCATCTGGTAGGCCTTGTTGGCCGCTATTCATGAAAGATATCTGGATATTGTGTATATAGTTTGCTCTTGACTCCGACAACGGTGACTTCAGAAACTTTTGCGTCTGGTGGTCTCAACCGCTAGGCTACATTGGGCGGAAACTGAGTGTTTGGGAATGCGTAGTTTATTTAAATTTGTTTTTGTCAAATAAAAATAGTATCTTTTTTTTTTTTTTTTTTCAAGCACACGGTATTTTTTTTTTTTTTTTGCAGCTTCTGTCCCTGGAAAGTTCAACTTTGTATATTTACGTCCGAGAAAAAAAATAGTCCCAATTTTTAGGTTTACGAACATATTTTGTGTCGTACAGTCCCTTTTTCTCGTCCTCTATGTAGAATTGTCAAATATTTTCAAGAATTACGTACAACAAGGGCTGTGTCTGGGAAGACTTTTCAGCAACAGACTCTGATAGGGAGGATTGTCATATAGGTACGTCACTGTACAAGATTCAGAAAATATGTCCAGCTCACAAAAGTCACTCACAACAGTGCGTCCTAATTTGCTTGTTTTTAACTGTGATAATTTTGTCGACTTTTTGGCGTTGCGTGATGAGACAAAAATTATGTGAATGCACAATCTGGAAGAACAAATTGATGTCTGAACGGCGTCATCTCGCCATCAAACAAGTGAGTCGAAGGTTCGCTTGCATTTCTCACAAGCGCCGTGAGATGGCGCAGCACGTCTAGGGTAGTAGAAGCCCTACGAGAATCACTCGAGCTCGAGAAACCGTCGTTACTCGCTTGTTCGTTACACGGACGCGTGGCTCGCGGGACGGCTCCTGCGCTAAGTCGCCTAAACCGACAATGCCCCTGGAGGGTGAAGCGCAAAACCAGAGAAAGTTTTGCCGCCTTGGCTGGCCTTGTTCGCGCACCTCTCTCTTCTTCCACTGTGGCTGAACACAAAAGTTTCTCGAGTTTTGGCATTACTTTTTTGTTCAAATTCAGTCCGCAGGAAGCGGCAAATGTTTATGACTATCTAGCTCAGGCCAAGAAATGTGGTACACTGCGCTAAACAACAACCGGTCCGCAAACGTTTCACAAGCCCTTAAGGCGCTATCAGATTTGTTATACATCATACAACAAACAACACACATTGTCTCAGGTGTGCTTTTTCTTCCTTGTATAACCGTCCTGTCACATGTTGTACAAAGCTGTCGGCAGACATGTTCGGAGCATGCATGTGTACGAAGAAAACATGCTCCCGACATGGTTGACTCGTGTCCGCGGCAATTTCTCTCATCATGTCTGACGCAAACACCGTGTCTTTTGTATTATGTATGATCAGGCTTTAAAACGCTCACAAAGACTTTAAGGAAGGGGGAAATGGGGATGTGCCTAGCCGACTCGACATCCTGAGGATAACTTAAGCACGCATATGACAGGAGCAGGAATAACGTTCGACGTAACTGACCATAGATCCTTCGCCGACGCGCTTTGGAACCAGTTCGGCTGTCCTGTTGTATTCGTACCACTCGGCGTCCACACCATGAGAAGCCATCATGCCGTGAAAGGTGGCACCTCCAGGCTGGAACCTTTTCTCCTGAAACAAAGAACGTAGAAGTCCCACCACAAGCTTTACTTGACTGATCCCATAGGGCGATCCCTCTAAGGCTCTAAGTCTCGCCAGACGCCATGTTGATGAACTTTCGCGCTAAGTATTTCTGTGCGCGGAGACAGTGTTTTTCAGCTCACCCTAGTTCTTTCGTGTCGTGATCGACTGCGCCAATCGGAATAGTCGGGAACATAAAGGAGCAACGGCTGGTGCCCGATTTTTACAGATACAGGTATTTATTCGGACCTAGGACAAGCAGGCGATTGAGAAGTCGACCTGTCGGAGGTCAAAATGGCCGCAGAAAGATGCCGCCGGGGCCACTCCAACAGAAAAACAAATGGTAAGGAAGTCTGGGTTTATGCGGGCCAAATACGTCCCCGATCATACTTACTGACCTCTGTCGTCGATGCAGTTATTCTCCGCACTTGACCGTTTCAGCAACAACGCCAGTAACTAATCCTCTGTATGCAAACCATTATGGAAAGTGGCGAATGCTGCTCATCTACATGGCGTAACGCGAATAAGGGGAAGTGAAAACACGTTTCGTGGAACTGCCCTAGAGCGGAAGTCACCAATGAACATGGGGATACTTCTCAGGTTCTTATAGCCGACAGATATCCAAACTAGAAAATCTTATACTCCGTTCTTCCCCTAATCTGAGAGTGGGGTGGAGGCGACTTGGTTGCCAGACCAATCGACATACTCCTTTTTATCACCTGGCCCCGGTCTCTGCGCGTGGATATAGCCGAGAACGAGGTCACGTGGCGGAAAATAGAAATATATCTGGTCCAAAGAGCACGTAGCTTCCACGTCGCTGTCAGCTTAAAAGTGAATGGAGTATGGATGGTTCATCCAATTTCCCATTTCAGCATATTGCACTTCCCATCATACAACACACGTCAGATCAACAGTGTAGGTTTCGTTGAAGCCCTAGGCCTCTAAACTTTCCTCTGACTTCGATCACATGGAACGTCAACAAACATGAGGTCATTGGAGTCAGCTTTGTTTATGGGGGGGGGGCAGGCTTGCAGCCACCCCACAGCCGTCGGACGACTGTTCCATGCGCGCTTAGATCGCTGTCTAACTGCAATCTACACATGTCATTATTAAACAGCAAGGAACACGGCAGTCATACGTTATTTAACTTAGGCTATTTGGTCACTGAGAGCATGGCAACGGCAGGGCGGTCCTTTAGCTGTTCCGCCTTCAGCGCGAGATGTCTACTTTCAACAACGCTTCGACATCTCGTGCGCCTCAAGTGTGCATTACAGCAGTCAACTCGGGAAGCTGAAAAAGACATCGTGCCGCTCTCATTCTGTAAGTGACTCGTTGAGAGTTGAACAGCCGTCAAACACCTGCCCCGCGAACCAACTGTACGCGTTCGCACACGACGCGTGTGTTCGCAAGAAAAATAAGAGAAAGAAAGAACGACCAGGTGGCGTCTTAAAAAGACACGGCGTCTTTTGCCACGAAGGCGGGTAGTGCACCTCAGCTTTGGTTGTGTTTCTCGTAAAATTAAACTCGGCCTATAACTGTTTAATCGAGAAATAAAACTCATCTGCAGTTGTTGTTTTGATTAATGCGAAAGCATTAACTGTCCCCTGGAGTGAAGCCGGCGTTATCTGAGGTCTGTAGCGGCGGAACACGGCAGCTAAATATCCATTAGTTGAGCGACACGGCACCTAAATACCCACTGGTTGAGCGAAACAGCACCTAAATTCCCATTGACTTCGCGAAACGGCACATACGAATTCCCATTAGCTGCAAAGCGAACACGCCACGAAAAAAATAAAACACAAATAAAAGCACAGCAACGCAGATGCTTCGTCACGAAAGCCGGTGGGCGCTCAAGGTCAAAGCGGACGCGCCTCAGAAATAAAACATAAAGAAAAGCACAGCAACGCTGGAGCATCGTCACGGAAGCCGTGGAGCCGGCGGAGGTGCCGCGCCTGCGCAATGGAGGAGCGTGATGTCACCATCGGGCCGCCGTGTGAAAAAAGAAAACGTGGCGCGCTGCATGCAGGAATGCTCTCGCATTCCTACACGTAAGCTGTCTTAAGTGTCTTCGTTTAATTGTTTTTATTAGCGTACTTACACCGGGTCTGTATTCAGTCGAGATCAGGCCCATGAACTCACTCATGCTGTTTCCTGTAAAACAGATAAACCTACAAAGTCAGGAGTCACTTCATAGTCCCGGTTTGGTTCATCTCGCTACCAAAAGTACGACAACCGTTAAGAAAAAAAGCTTCCTAAGAGCGTTTTAGAAATTTTTACGCACGCCTACAAGTTTACAAAGGTACAACTTGTACAGAAACCACATGAGAAGAAACTAATATCTATGCTTTAAAATACCGCCACTCAGGGACAAAAACGGCCGGTCAAGACGACTGGTCAGGCCTTCCTTATTTATTTATTTAATCATATTCGATGACGAGAGATCACTACAAATGTTTGGCAATTCATGAGAGGCCTAATGCAGGTGCCTTTCAAGAGAATTTTATCATCGCTTCGCAGCCAGTGAAATTGAGACGTTAGCTGATAAGAACACCAAATAACTAATCGGGAAGCGCGAAGCTTTAACATTAACACGCGTGGTCAATAAATTGACCACGCGTGTTAATGTTAATTGACCACGCTTCGCGTGGTCAATTAATGTTAACAGTAATAACATTATTATTTTATTATTACATTAATAATGTTAATATTAAATTATAATTTATTATTATAATAATCGCGTGGTCAATTAAAGAATTGACCACGCGTGTTAATGTTAACATTATTGACCGCGAACCTCTGACATTGAGCAGTCGGTCACCATAGAAGCAACTGTTGTGTAATTATATTCGTCAACAAAATTCGCTGGCATCGGGACAATGAAATACCACGTAAAACTCAGCCCGTTATGTATCACCGAAGGACTACATAAAATTTGAAGATTTTGATAAGCGAGTCTGCACGCATCCGTCTCCGTCCCCTTTCCCCCCTGCTTAGTGACCATTCTCTTCTTAATCACCCGTACAGAAATGTCATAGATGGTCATATCAAGATTTGGTCAAGTATATATATACATATGGTGACCGAGTGAAGATTGACAAGTGCAGCCGTAGTAATATTGTGAACGAAGAGGGGAGAAGGTGAATATTGAATTTATTGCATTAAAGTTAGGGAAAGAGAAAGAGAGCTGGCGAAAAATTGGGCCAGGAGCGGGGATTGAACCCGCAACCATCACCTGTCCGGGGTGACGCCTTAACCGATTAGACCATCCTGGCCACTGGTTTCGGCGGACTCAATATTTGACCAGGAGTTCGCTTAACTGGGTAGACGACAAGCGTTGTTGATTTAAGGTCCGCGCTAGTTCCGAATTGCGGCAGTGACGTGGCACGTCATCTCCTCCCCATAGGGACAGGCTGCACTGTATATATAATGGGAATGAGTGGAGGTTGGCAAGTGCAGCCGTAGTAATATTGTGAACGAAGAGGGGAGAAGGTGATTATTGAATTTAAAAAGAGCTGGCCCAATTTTTCGCCAGCTCCCTTTCCCTTTCCCTCTCCTTAACTTTAATGCAATAAATTCAATAATCCCTTTCTCCCTCTTCGTTGACAATATATATATATGTATATATATATATACTCAACAAAATATTAGCCCCTAAAGGAGTTAGCCGAGGAGGTTGCCCAAAAAGTGAGATTGATGAAACGTTTCGGGCCTGGTAGGCTCTTCGTCAGTCAAGTGAGAACACTTCGTTCTCCTTTTCTTTCAATCAAAGAAAAAACGGCCGGAAAAAAGAAGTTAATTCGAAAAATGCTTACCGTTTAGCGGGTACCTACTCAACTAAATTCTCGCTTAAAAGTTTAATATATCCCGATACCAATGCAATAAATACTATGGAAATAATTAAATATAATATTATTACTGCCATTCTTATCATAAAACCAGTTTTTGGGACATGTGGTTGGGAGAACGAAGTGTTCTCACTTGACTGACGAAGAGCCTACCAGGCCCGAAACGTTTCATCAATCTCACTTTTTGGGCAACCTCCTCGGCTAACTCCTTTAAGGGCTAATATTTTGTTGAGCATATTTCTCTCGAGTGCCGTCTTTGGTTCCCAGGTGCTGTTCCGTTGATCATGGCCTCGGGACGTGCCCCTGCCCTCCTAGGCCTGGAGACCGTTGCCATCGTGGGAACCTCCATCATTAAGTATTTGCACACTCTTGTTCTTTTTAACGGTAGTGACCCGACGGTTGTTCCGAAATCTGGTGGTGTAATTTCGGATTTTTTTTCTATCGTAGACAGTCTCCCCCGTCACGTCAATTCCATTTTTTTACAAATCGGGTCAAACGATATTTGCCGTTTACCGCCTTTCCAGTGCGCCATTTTATTTAATAATCTTATTTTACACATTCGGCAAATACGACCGGACGTGACTATAATTATCTCTAGCGTTCCTCCCCGGTTGGAGGATAATTTTAGGCCCCGTGGACCAGGCTACATACGATGGATTAACGAAAAAATCTTTGAATTAAACTTTTTTCTGAGGGAGTTCTCTTTTATTTACGAAAATGTAGTATTCTTAAATCACCGTTATTTTTTTGAGACCCCTCATCGCTTTTTGTCTTTCGATGGGTTACACCTAAGTAGGGAGGGTATAGCTTAATTGGCCAACCATTTCAAAAAATTTTTAGTTACTCACTTGCTGCGCAAGTGCCCCTTAACACCTAGGTTCCCTGAATTTGAAGATGTTGCCCGAGGGAAGAGGGTACATAGTGGGCAGGTTTCAGGGGTTGTTCCTCCTTCTTTTGGCACGCCTTCAGATTCTGTTCTATTATCGTTGCCGGAGTCATTCCCGCAGCTTTCACGGCAAAGTGTGAGGGATGGCTCCGCACGTAATAGAAATCCCTTAGCGGGTCGTTTTCGACGCGCTCCACAATGTAAACGCCGACGTTCGTCGGATTCACATTGACTCCCACAGGCTTTTCTCCAACCCTTTTTTAATCTTCGCGTTGGTTTCGATAAATTAATTCGATTTGAATCCCATAAACTTTTTTTGCAAAACTGCCGCACACAAAAAAAAGATTCCGTTCGGTTTTTATAACACATATACAGCTCCAACCATACAGTTATCCCATGTAAATGTGCAGACATGGGATAGCGCTATTTTTAATTTTAGAATGTCTTTACTGGACATTACAATACAGAAGTCAATGGAAAATATTCGTGCTTTAGAGTCTCAGATCGATATTATTTTAAAAACTTCCCCTGGTTTACCTTTAATAATATTAAAAGAATTGCAGCATTACATACATAAAAAGGAGCGAGAAGTAATTAATACCAAACGACGTAAGGCACTTAGAGATAATGTACTCTTGGATTTTTTTCTCGCCCCTAATAGAAAAATGGAAAAACTTCTTTTCACGCCTAATTAATAGAACACAGCATACTAATCCATGTAACTCAGAACATTCTACAGATTTGGGTGGAGAAAAGTCTGAAATATTCAATTATTCTTCCTATGTAATTTCTAAACACGAAGAGATAGTTCTCAAGAAGGGATTAAAGTTTTGCCCCACTCCTCGCAACAATAGTGATGATTTGGACTTCCACAAAGGTTTAAATGAATTTGCACGGCAATTGCACTGTAAAGTTTTTTTCAAAGGAGCTCCTTATCAAGAGCCCTTATATAAACACAAATCCTATTGGATTCCGCCGTTGAATAAACAAAATGTTAATGTCATAAAATACATAGAGGCGGTCCAGAAATATGTTTTATCAGCGTATAAAAAAGACAGACCACTTAATAATAATTTAACTTATAAGGATAGGCAATGCTTAAAAAACCTGACGGAAAACAGAGATATCATAACAGCCCAGGCTGACAAAGGGGGAGGTATATGCACAGTTAACACAGCCGACTATGTATCGGAAGCAATTAAACAACTGAACGACACTAAGTTCTATAAAAAAACTAGATTATGATCCAACACTTAAGTTTCGAGAGACGATAAAAACACAATTAAAATACCTAGTAGATAATAAGAAAATAGAGAAAAACATTTCTACGTATCTCATTCAGGAAAATCCGAGACCAGGACAGTTCTATATGCTAATGAAAGTACATAAGCAAAATCACCCAGGTAGACCAATTATTTCGGGAATAGGTACTAATACAGAGAATATTTCCGCCTTTATTGACGAACAAATTAAAAGTACTGCAGCCGGTGCCCCTTCCTACGTAAAAGACTCCTCTCATTTTCTCAATTTGATTAATGATATCCAAATGGATTTTAGGACTAATAGTACGTTGCTTGTCACAATGGACGTAGTGTCTCTTTACACTAATATACCGCATGATGAAGGTATTCAAGCAGTTCTTAATATTGTTCATGAGAACGACCTCACTGTTAGTAAAAGCGTCTTAAATATTTTTATGCACCTAGCTTTAGAGCTTAATAACTTCACATTTATGAATGAGCATTATTTACAAATACATGGCGCAGCAATGGGATCTCGCTTCTCTCCCTCCTATGCAAATAGATATATGATGTCTTTAGAAGAGCGGCTACTTAACTCCTTCCCGCATAAACCCCTTTTTTATAAACGTTTCCTAGACGACATATTTATAATTTGGAATAATGGGGAAGGTAAGCTCTTTGAATTTATTAATTTTGCCAACAATTTTAATCCACATATTAAATTTACGTATAAATGCTCTGATACAGAAATAGAGTTTCTAGATATTAAGGTAAGACTTACTGAAAATGGTTTGAAAACAACCTTATATCTAAAACCTACAGATAGACGTCAATTTCTACATTATAAAAGCTGTCATCCAATACAAAACAAAAAAGGTATACCATACAGTCAAATGCTACGCTTAAGACGCTTATGTTCAGAAGATAAGGATTTTGATATAAAAGCTAGAGCACTAGGAGAGGATTTCATAAACCGTGGATACCCCTTACCGCTAATAAATAATTCTATATCAAAAAGTCGAGCGATCTCTCGGAACGCGTGTTTAGTAGAGCGGCCGAAAAGAAATAATCATGAATTACGACTAATCTTACCTTACCAGTCAAAACTTCCAAACATAAACAATATTCTTAGACGACACATGAATATTTTACACATGGACACAGCTTTAAAGG